ACTACCACAACGGCCTCCCGTGACTTCCCTTCTCCTAAGGAACCAGTCCAGAAGATCGTACTGCTTAGCGCCTAACCCTATTAACTTAATTTCCCGCGATATTGTTGAATCGTGGCATGATATGAACCCCCAACTTCTGATGTGGCTGACTTCAATCATAATCACACCTTTTTCGACTTCGAATGAATTTTCGCTTGTCATCGTATGTGACCACGATGTGGAACTCCAGCCACTGGCATCCCATCGTGAAGCCATATGGAGCTTCTCAACCGCTCATAGCACATCGAGTCCAGGCTATGGTTCCTTCCCAATCCAGCAGTTCCCTCCCAACCTTTGATTTTCTTTCTACTGCCCACGGTATCTCTCACTTCTCTCAACTGACAATGACATGGCACTGACACTGGCTTGCTCACTCATGCCACTGATGGAACTCACTCTCGCACGGCTCACTCATGCCCACCACAGTAACACATGCTGTTCAAACCCTACCGTTGGTATGTACCTCATTCCCTTTATTTGACTAGGCTCCCTCCTTCCACTAGGACAGTAATCGCATCTTCTTCCACAAAATGTGATTTCGAGCGGTTTACGGACGAACTAAGATTTTGGAGAATTATTTACACTGCAGTGGACGAAAACCAACTATAAACAAACGTGAACCGGTAAGAGAACCGGCTCTACAGTGAAAGTAAGTGCAACGCGTATGAAGATTTTGTGGAGAGCGACCTAAATGTTTAAAGGTTGGTGGTCAATGTACCCTGAAAGCAGACAGGTCACCCTCAATTCTTTTCCTACAAGAAGCTAAGAAGAGGGCAGATACTTCCTTTCCGCATTATGCCTAATATGAACTGTTGCTTCGTAACGAACAGTCTTCGCGCAGACTTTGCGCCGTCATCCACCCTAAATAGAGCACAAATAAACCAAGTACCGATGTACGAAAGGTTTCCTTCATGACATATTAGCAATTCTTCTCTCCTCATGTATGAATTTATTCAAAGGTAAACTCGACATTCAAAAAAATAGTTGCATATCAGTCCCACGCATAAACTATGATACAGTTGATGTTTATTATTTTAGGTCTATGGAGAGTATTCCGCAAGAATTATTCAAACAATCTCCATTAAAGTTATATTTTTTTAGTAGTAAAATATATTCGACTTCTAAAAATCAAAAAGGGAGCTAAAAGTGTCAACATGTCTTTCACTTTTAAAAGACAGCCGAAATTAACTGATTGTAAAAGGGACAAAAGCGTGTTCAAAGGGCAAAAATATTGATCTAATTTTAACATTACCGTTCAAAAACAAAGTATATAATGGCAAATATTTAATATGAACTAACGGGCTGGTTGTTGCAAAGCTGATGAACCAGGCTTTAACGTTGTAGCGTAGAAATGGAAACGGATTTCGGAGAGCGAATGCCCCATACACGATAAGAAATAGGAAGAACAGGATACCGAGACCCGCCGTCACCGTAAGAACAAACATACCTAACCCTGCAAAGGCTGCCTTAATATCCTCGACATTCAGTATGGCGGAGGCGATCATGAAGGCAACGCCGACTGGCGTACACCTGGGAAAATGCAAATGCGTTGCTGATCATATGCTGCCTCTACAGGTTTCCTATTAATATATTTTAAATCATTTCAGTATCTGCGATAATTTTTCAAATCGTAGGGAATTCATGTCTTGTCTGATATGTGAAGGAGAGTAATTTGGTAGTAAACCGAACTTACTGTAAAAATGCGTTAACGAGGTTGAGAACGACTCCAGCGAGGGACCGAAAGAAGTCCAAGAAAGCTTTCCCAATGTCCCCGGCCTTCCTCGCTGCCAGGCCAAATGCGATACAGATGAGAAGAACGCCTAAGAAGTGTGAACAATATTTTAAATTGATTAAGAATATGAAGAGCGAAGGAAGCCCTTTTTGAAGCAATTGGTAATGTGGCGGTGAGGTTACATAAAAAATTAGATTTCTTCCCCTAATATATGTTTCCATTCATATAAAATTATAAATAGGTCTGCTTCAAGAAA